CTGAAGCTAGTGGTTCTATCTAATACTTTATGTTGTCTCTGAAGGTAGTGGTTCTGTCTAATACTTTAAGTGATGTCTCTGAAGCTAGTGGTCCTATCTAATACTTTAAGTGATGTTGTCTCTGAAGGTAGTTGTTCTATCTAATACTTTAAATGATGTTGTCTCTGAAGCTAGTGGTTCTATCTAATACTTTATGTTGTCTCTGAAGGTAGTGGTTCTGTCTAATACTTTAAGTGATGTCTCTGAAGCTAGTGGTCCTATCTAATACTTTAAGTGATGTTGTCTCTGAAACTAGTGGTCCTATCTAATACTTTAAGTGATGTTGTCTCTGAAGCTAGTGGTCCTATCTTATACTTGATGTTTGTTGTCTCTGAAGCTAGTGGTTCTATCTAATACTTTATGTTGTATCTGAAGTTAAGATATGTTTAACTACAAACCGATAGATTAAAAGAAAGTTGTTAAAATGTCAACTTAGTTTACATGAAAAGAAACTCACCCTTGATTTCTCTTTCAAGTTGAATATTTTCCATGTTTCCTATACATTCTTGGGGATCCTGACTATCTGGAAAGTCCTCACAATCGATTCCACTGGGCCAACTTAAAGCAAAGACTCCGAGAAAAAAGCCACATTTCCGAACAGCCTCTGGAAGATGTTTAATAGAACCTAATATTTAAGTCTCGCTCAACTTCCAACTAAGCCTGTTGTTATTAACTGGAAAAGTGGACTACATCTGGTACTAGTGGGCAAGGATGATGAACAACCTTACAATGTTTGTCTGAGATGTTGTTATTTCTTGATGTAGTCTTAGCTTCGCTGTCAAAACAAGCTTTGTTTCTTATTCCAAGCTATCTTAATGAAAGTAACATTTTTTTATCTTATCTGCGTCAGTATCTGCCACCATATGTCTGCTAAAGTTCCAGAAGAAGGATGGGTATAAGAAAGTTTGATTTACCTGCACTAACTTTATAATAGGCCAAATCTTCTGTAAACCCAACCTTTAACTTCAATAACGTAGACTAGCGAAAGTTGATCATTCGTAGAAGCAAGTGTATAGTAACAATGGCTGATAGAGGCAAGGAACTATATAAAGTTTATAAATGACTCAAGGGTAAACTTGGTAAAGTGTAGCAGCAAGTTAACACCAACTACAGTAAACTATAGCCAAGTGTGGCTATGAACGTAGGTACTGTTTTAACTCACTTTTGATGAAATTAATAATTAGTCACAAATGTCATTAAACTTCAAAATTGTGTGCTTTTATAATCGATAATTTAACGAAAGAAACAAATATTTGTAACATTATTAGTCGTTTTATTGTAATATCAGACCTTTTTTTTGTTCTATCTATTACATCAAGAAAATCAGACATCAGCTTTTGTGCATTCAATCGTTGATCAAAAGGAACCCTCCATACTGTTGAAACAATGGAACTGATGATGCCCTGGAGGCATGAAATAAATCCAGGCTGAGCTCATACAGATAAGGCTCGACCCAGCCTGAGCAGAGGGGACAAATATTGTACGTAAATAAAACCTGTGCTCTCTACAGCCGATAACCTTCCTGAGCACGTGACAAGCACTTCGTTCTGGCTCTTCCAACAACTTGGCTGGCACAGGAATCAAAACTATGGCAAATAAAACCTGTGCTCTCTACAGCCGATAACCTTCCTGAGCACGTGACAAGCACTTCGTTCTGGTTCTTCTAACAACTTGGCTGGCACAGGAACCAAAACTATGGCAAATAAAACCTGTGCTCTCTACAGCCGATAACCTTCCTGAGCACGTGACAAGCACTTCGTTCTGGTTCTTCTAACAACTTGGCTGGCACAGGAACCAAAACTATGGCAAATAAAACCTGTGCTCTCTACAGCCGATAACCTTCCCGAGCACCTG